TCTCGTGTCGTTCCGAAGCTTGCTACTTACACGCTGAACTGCTGCTCTTTGGGAAGAATTAATACTGTTGACGATTTGGGCGTCCGCTTGGACCCAAAACTTGACTTTATTGATCATATTTCGTCTATGGTGAATAGAGCCAGGGGTGTGCTTGGATTTATTAAACGGTGGTCGAAGGAATTCAATAACCCCTATGTTACTAAATCCTTATATACTTCCTTAGTTCGTCCTATCCTAGAACATGGATGCTGCGTTTGGAGCCCTCAGTACGGCGTCCATAGTAAACGCATTGAGTCGGATCAAAAGAACTTTTTACTTTTCGCTCTACGCGGTTTAAATTGGGATGCAAACCAAAGATTACCTTCCTACTCTAGTAGACTCCTATTAATAAACTTGCCGTCCTTAGCCAATCGTAGAACGATGCTAGGGATAACCTTTATTTTAACCTTATCCATGGTGATGTGGAAAGTGCTGACTTGTTGAGTCAGCTTAATTTCCATGTACCATGTAGAACCACTAGATCCTATATCCCATTAGTGTTGCGCCACTGTAGGACCTCCTTTAAACTGCATGAACCTTTTAGAGTGTTATGTGCAAATTATAATGATTTGTACACACTAATCTCTAACGTAGATTCCCTTCCCAAATTAAAATCTTTAATACTAACACACTTAGTAAGCATGCAAGCTAACAATCTGGCAGCACGCCGGTAGTCAATTTTCCTCGTATTCTGTCCTATATTTTCCATCGCGCCTACTAACACCTAACCCAAACAGGCACGTGCCTGGTGTCATACGGGCCACTTGTATGTACTGACCTTAGTGCATCAACGTTCAAGTATTTATATTTATATAGTCGCCCGATCCGGCCCGTTCCGACATATATAAGTAAGACCAACTACAAAGTTTCATTAAGATACCTTCAAAACTATGAGAGGGCAAGTGTTCATTAAAAAAACTGGTCAAATTAGACAAGTGGATGATAAACACTTCAAAGAAACAAATAGAGGCAGGAAAATCGTACATTACAAGTCCAAGTTCAAGAAACAAAAGAAAACTAACAAAAGTAAATACGATAATTCTAGACCCATCGAAGAAGATTAAGAGATGTCCCGTATTCCCCATAATGATTATATGTCTGGCAATCATCGCTCTCATCACCGTAGTCCAAGGCAGTAGCATAGAAGTAAATTCAATAAGTGCTAAAAATGGATACCTATTATTTCAAACAGGAGTTACGGAGATACTCACGAGTTACGAGTATCATTACTTAAGCATAAACATAACTAAGGCCATGTTAATGTTTGAGAATTTATTAGATGAAGCGAAATATTTTCTTGACGTAATCCAAATAGATTACTTAGTTGAAAAACTAAAAAGGGAAATAAATGGTTTGAGAATAATCAAGAGAACCAAACGAAGTCTAGTAAATATTGTAGGAACAGCGTACAAATATTTATTCGGCACATTAGGTCAGGACGACAGATATGAGTTAGAAAGCAAAATTAATAACTTGTCAGAAAATTCCGTTCAGAATCACGATTTGAATATGATTATAGATGTGATTAACATCGGGATAGATATCAGCAACAAATTCAAAATTGAAATGGAAAAACAACAACAGGTAGCAGTACTTATTTCCAACTTACAGCAATTTACTGAGTATATTGAAGATATAGAAATGGGTATGCAACTCACGAGACTGGGAATTTGCAATCCGAAATTACTTAATCATGATTATTTGAAACAAGTAAATTCCGAGAAAATGCTAAAGATTAAAACATCCACTTGGCTTAAAACAGATACAAACGAAATTTTAATAATTTTTGATGTTCCTAGGAGATAATGAGAGTCCCAATATTCAATATAGTCCCATATCCTGACGAGTCCAATTACATCCTTACCGAATCTGTATTTGATAAGTTTTATATTTACGAAGATAAGGTCTATAATACACATACAGGTAAACCAATGCTCGATAAATGTTTGGTAGGAATTATTAAGCAAGAACCTATTGAATGTAAACACACTAAAACAGACAAAAACTTCCAAATCAATTATGTAAAACCAAACATATTAGTCACCCAGAATATTCCAGAAACACTTGTTAATCAAAAATGCATCAATAATAGAGTTTCTAAACAAGGAAACAACATTATTAAAATAAAGAATTGTACTATGCAAATAAATGAATTCATAATTTCAAACAACTTTGCAGATTTTACACAGTCAATTTATATTGTTAACAACATAACCAAATAGAACCTTTGGCATACATTCAAGCAAGAGATATAATTGAATCCCATGTAAAATATTACAGCATGTTTCAAATCATATGTCTTAAATCTTTTGTCATTACAATCCTAAGTTTAATACTGTATGTCAGTTATAAATTTAAGAGTATACCTAAGAAACTCATTGTTATATATAAGAAAACACAAGAAGAACAACCGATCCCGGAACAAATTGTAAATGATCAGATCATACCGGAAAATAACATCATGATTTATCCCACATTATCCGCTTGAGAATAGGCCAAATTCAAAGGTTGGGGGAGTGACATATCCACAGTCCCATAGACTTTAGCACATGCCTACTTATTCCACATTTGTAAAACTATGAATCATCATCGAATGATAACCATACAGTCATCGGACACCACAACTCCACACGAGTCTGACAGTAGAATAAACACAAGTCCCCAGTAGTAGACTAAACAATTTTATTGTCTAAACATCCTTTCCTATTTGTCGCGGTCACACGCTTAAAGTTCGGACTCGTTAGCTCGAAAACAATATTATCAATTTCAAAAGAGCACTTGTATTCAAGAGCGAATGCACTTGAATCCAAGAGAAATTAGAGAATCAATTATGCTCTCTCTCAGAATCTTTCGAAATCCATCAAGATCCACTAAAGCTCGAAACCGAGGCTTGATCGTCAGCCATCCTAGTTCAATAAGGGGAGTTCAGTTTGAGACACGAAATTATTCGGTCGGTGTTCTTCACATAAAAATATCTTGTAATAAATTCGGTTAAATAAAAATAATAATAATCTTTTTTAACTTACGAATAACCAAGTATTTAAATATATATATGTTTCTGTAGACGGACCTGGACAGACTGAGTATATACCCGTAATTCATGTTTTATTCCTATTTATTTTAAGAATAAATCTCTCCAAAAATTATTAAACAACTGCCAATATATTTGAAAAGCACTTGTAGTAAAGATCAGTCTTGTTCTTACATCATTACCAAATTAACGCTAATATTCATTACTAGTTCAATTTGTCAGGTCCCGAAAAAATACCTAAATATCGAAGCCCTCTTCAATCCCTTTTTGAAAATGTTCACCTCATTCTTATGATCTAATTACTTTTTCCTTATTCGGGTGGAATCAAATCGGATCCCAACAACAGTAGAGGAATCTCTAAGTTGTCGGCCATCCCAAAACTTTTCGAATGTGTTTTTCTCATAACAGTATTTCTCTATTTCATTTTAATTTATTTTCAGTCCAGCATTTAAAATAGATTTAATGGGATTTCCGGTTGAACTGCTTGTATGAATCTCAACTTGTTTTATTGTCAGAACGTAAATATCCTATTGAAAATATACTTACCTTTTTGTTCCGCGTTACTTCTGTGGTCCCGCATAGGAGCCTCCTATTGTTTATATTATTTATTAAGGAGTAACTTACTAACTCTAGATTACTTATGTCCGGTTGGCAAGTTAAGCTTGCTTACCAGTCAAAAATTTCAAGGATAAACATAACGAGGGCTCAAATAATATAAAATAATACTATTTTTACTTGGAGAAATAAAAACAATAATAGTACAAAGTTATGACATTTTCTTCTCAATTTGATCGCAGCACCCACTTCCGGAACAAACATAAATTCAAATAAATGTAATGTAAAAAACATAAATGATTAACAACGATTTCTTGTAAACCAATTACGCAAGTCGATATTAAAATGAAAAAAGTTATGAAAATATAATTTTTCTTTCTAATTTTTAACAAGAAAGGAAGTTAACTTCGGTACGTCAAAGTTTGTATACCCTTGAACATTGCAATTCGATTATTAATATTTTATTTAAAATAACTTACATATATTTCTGTTATGTTTTCCTCTACATTTAACGATTGTTCCTATGGCAACTGTGTAAATGACATAGTCGTCCGATTTTAATAAATTAAAGCAAAAATTATAAAATAATACAAAATGGCTTTATCTCAAATTAGATGAAAATATGTTGAAAACTGGAAAAGTTTTCCGATCTACTATTGTAGTGGTACTGGCAAGGGACGGAACAGAAAACGTCCCCGTCTCCCTAAGAACGCTTTAAAGCGAGTTGGAGAGGAGCGCATACGCAGCAGCAAAGAGCAGATGGAGCAAAAGCTCCGCAACCAGCAACATATCAATAATCATGTGAAAAAAGAGCAATTATAAACTCAGCCACAACGTTCTGCATTTACCTCGGAAAGATTACAGACTGTTGGTGGGACTTCTCACAGGTCATAGTCTCCCCATCCGGCCTGTTAGTATTTCTATTCGAGACAGAGTATAAAGAAGGCTATTTGCAAGGTTTCATTCAGAGAGAGACAAGTTGGCTAAGAAATTGACAGACGTACCTATCTAATTCGACTTGGCTCTTTTTACTAATCAAGAATATATATACTTTATGACTCCTTCACTGCGTTGCACACTTTTGACAAAAATTATAATTCCATGCAGGGGTATACCCTTTTATATGCTATGACCCTAGTATTTTTCATATTTTCGATTAACCTAAGGTTACAAAATAATTATTTTATATAATTTTAAATCATTATTTTATTTATTATAAAAGACTTTTTGTATAAGGAATTCTTCTTTTGTTTTCTTATATAATAAGTATATTTATATATATATTATTTAAAGGCGTAGGTATATCGTTAAATTATTCTCAGAATGTTTTAGAGATAAGCAAGTTTACAATAATTATAAAATTGTAAGCCCAAAAGATACGTTTTCAGTCATAAAAAGGATGTCTTAAATAATAAATATATTAATATATCCCGTAAAATATTTTCTCCTCTACAGCATTGAGATATTTGGATCTGATTCAATGGCCATTGGCAATGTGCTCGATTGTCGAGAGTTTTAAATTGTTCATTCGTTTAATAAATTAAACGTATTTATACATATATTCGCGATTCGAGTTCACATGCATACATACATTCGCATCATTTTTGGATGCCTTTTTCATTAAATAAATCTTTAGTGTTAATTTTTTGCAGCATACAAAATGAATGTTTCACAATATATTTAAGGTAAACACAAGTCACTTAACATAAACACGATCATAATATTACGTATTTTTTTATCTTTTTCTTGCTTATTTTATATATATATTGTTTGAAATGTAATTTTGCAGATAATTCTAATTTTATGCTAAGCTATAGAAAATAAAATAAGTGTTACATTTAATATATTTATATTCGTGTTATATTAATGGATTCGTTAATCGATTCTTTTCTTAAAAGCATCTTTGTATCATTTTCTATTTCAATTGGTGATATTCCCGCACTGCGATCATTTAAATATGGAGTGTCCTCTTCCACAATTTTTTCGAGAGGCACGTCACCGGAGTTGGCCAGACCTGAAAACTGATCTAATTAAAACTTGACTTACTGAAAAGAATTTTCTACAAACCATTACGTCCAATCATTGGTCCATTGGATATATTTTCCGAGGAGCCGCTATTAACCACAGCCACATCTGTCAGTGAGTTGGTACGTCCGCATTTCTGCAAGGCAACAGCTTTTCTAGCATGTCGTGTGGTTAAAACACCAGTTTCTACATCTCTCTCAAGACGGTGACCTTAATAATGTGGTTTAAACAAATGGCATAAGTACGGCAATATACAAATTACCGGAACGGGATCGAGTTAGCTGCCGTTGAACATAGTCCTCAAGATCTTCCTCTTCTTTTCGACTTATAAGGCAGTTCAACACGAGTAAAAATAAACCCAATCCTAGGGAAAATAAACCTGTACACGTAACATCATTCCACCAGGCGGAGCTGGAACCTAATAAGAAGAATAAAGAATTGTACCATCCATCCCAAAAGTAAGAGGTGGAAAATAAGCAGTAAAAAATTAATTCATGGGTATACTTCATTATAAAAAAAAATTTCACAGCATCAGCCTTATCAGTGCACATGTACAAACCAGACCAATTAAATTCAGATATGAAATCATTCAGCTGTTTAAAGTCCGTCTTGCCAAAACATGATATAATCAAACCATAATCGTAAGATTAAGATTATACGAATCTTGGGGTTGTGTCAGCGGCGTCTTTCTAGCCAAAAGGGCTATCGAAAAATCTGATATCAATCAAGTTATCTATGGAATTACCATTAAACCTAGTGCTAACGAGACCACTGTGATCAAAGCAAATAAATAAAAGGCACGAAAGGCGAAAGTTGATGCTAGCTGTTTTTTGTAAGCAAACATTATAAAGTGATATTAGTGTATAGATCGTTGAATTCCTTGGAACAATAATTTATAAAACTAACTAACTAACTTTACAAACTATAACAGAGGTTAAGTGCGCGGATGTGTCAGAATATAATAGGCAGATTTTAATGTCATCAGCATACATTAAAGTAAATACAAAGAATATAATAAGCAGATTTTAATGTCATCAGCATACATTAAAGTAAATACACAGAACATAACGTTTGATAGATCGTTCATAAAAAGAACAAAAAAAAGTAGTGGACCGAGATGACTGCCTTGGGGGACACCAGAATACACATTAACCACAGACGATAATTGGTTATTGCAGAGACCGAAATCGAGAAGAGAAAGTTTGTGGAGGTGAAGGCAATGGTTTACCAAGTCAAAAGCTTTGCTAAAATCAGTAAAAATATTATTAGTTTGGCATTTGTTAAGGAAACCCCGGCGTCTGTATGAAGAAAATTCAAGCAGGTTTGTTGTTCTTAAATGAAAGCCATGTTGAGAAGGAGAAATTATGAAGGCACACATATGGTTCAGTTGATAGATTACCAGCTGTTCAAAAAGCTTCCGTAATGCTCAGAGCCACAATAAAACATGTGGAACATAAATATGGTTAATATGGGGTATAGGTTAATGATAAGAAATATTGCGATTGGGTTGGTCAGCAAACAGGTTGGTAATTTTCCAGGAGATGATTCAGGAGTAAAAAGGAGTCAAAATTGACTAGGGTAACTACGTATGTTATTCCTACGTTTAGCAACGTAGTGACCATAATACTAACTAGTCCCATGAATATATTCTGAACGGACACATTTTCCGATATGTCACAAGCGAAATAGGACTTAAGATATTTTTTGTACGACCTAGACTTTTTGTTTTTAAGATTTGACGAGTGCTTGTTGAACCAGGGGGCTTGCACGAGCTAAAACCCGTTCGAACATGAAAATAGACAAATACACAGACTTGTAAAAGGACGAAATTGCAGTTTCAAGATCATGACATTAAGGTCGACCAATCTGTAGTATAGTGTAATAAGTAACATGTAGAGTAGTGTATGCATATATATGAGTTCATATTGCACAACATAAATATACAAAAGGGCATTGCCTTTGTCACTCATCGACAGCGTGCCAAGTACCTAAATACGTTTCAAGTGCAAACGTAATACGAGATGCACTTAATGCATTACTTGCATAAGAGCCGAGTCAGCATACTAGTTCTTACGCTGACCGCTCATATACATATGTGTACATATATGCATGCGCGACTCTCTCATTTGACTTTACATACTTCACTTATGTATAAAGTAAAACGGCTGCTCTGCCGCTGCGCCGACAGCTAGCAAGCCTTAGTCTAAGATTCAATGAAACATTAATAAAAGACAAGCCGAACCAATCGGTTCAACAAACAAATCCGTAGTGAAAGTTATTTCAGAAGGAACACACAACATGGCGACCGTGACAAAGTCCTCTGGGACTTAGGACAAGCTGGACAATCCAACAGGAGCAGCAGCAACATAAGCAGCAAAATAAATAGCAGCAACACCTAGCTTGGCAGTTTGGCAGCGACGACGACGGCAACTACGTGGGAATAATTAAAATCAAAAATAATAAGTCTGAGTGAGTAGAGTGAGCGATGGTACGAGGGGGTCAAAAGAACAAGATAAATAAGAGAATAGCACACATAAAGTGGCTATTATACGCTCAACCAACGCCGCCCGCATGGTCGACGGCCCAAAAATTGCAAAACGAGCTACATTTTTAAAAGAAACCCTACTAAACAAAGTACCGAAAGTCGCAACTCACTCAGACAATAAAATACATATTATAAATGAAAAATTAAAATCCAAACCTAATATTCCAAAGCCACTACAGAAACAACCGAAGAGCTGCCCAAACGACTGCCCTGGACCCTTCTATTCAGTAACATGCAATTATGCATGTACAACGAGGAAACTAGCCAAGACCAGTGCGAAGACCAGCACCTGCACCGCCTGAGCTAATAGGCCCCGGACGTCAGTAGCAGAGCGATAGCGAGAGGGGCAAACCGCCACTTTCGCCTACGAAGGAGCGTCAGCGTAGCCAACCGGCGACGACCAGCTGACGCAGAGGATGCAGCAGGCACCACTATATATATATATGATATAAAATAAAACCATTGTAAAATCGTGCGGAACCTTCTCCGCTCGGTTAGAAGTATAACCCGTAAAGCTATACGAAAAATAGGCAGGACGCATGTAAAAAAAAAATATACAAATATGACAAATAAACAAAAAAAAAAATAAGCAAGATTAGATGAAAAGTAACGCTATAAGTAAATTCAGTAACGAAGTAAATGATAAGTATAATTATAAAAATAATTTTTGCGAAACCACAATGGGTTTAGTAGACGTTAAGTCAGTGGACTCCACTGCTAACGTAATAAATAAGGTACAATCAAACGAAACTGATTTGGAATTTGTAAATATAATGCTAGTAATAATTGTTGTTATAATGTGCGCCAATTGTTTTTACAAAATATATAAACTACACAACAGATGCCTAAAGAAAAGGTATATGAGCCGAGCGAATGACTTGGACAAAATTAAAAAAAAAAAAATTTTCTTTATAAATCAGAACAAGCACACATCCAACAATTATTAACTAAGCAAAATATAGCGAAATGTACCTAAATAAGTAACAAAAAAAATAATAAAGAAAATGAAATAAAAATAAATAAATATAATTGAAACATAATATTTATGTATGACCACACAAATAGCCAAAAAAAAAAAAATCAAAAGTAGATAAAGAATAGATAGCACCCAACGTTAGATAGAGTAAATTGTATGATGGTGTCAAAAACTAATTCATAACCATACTATAATGGAATGGAATGAATTAACAAAAGAACTATCAAACATTAGATCAGAATTCGATAAATCATACAAGTCTCTAACACAGAATAGGCCTATACAAAAAACTACAGTTGAGAAACACGTAGAAGTATTAGTCAAATGCTTCAATGAAGCACGAACACTAATATACGAACATAGAGATAGATTCACTCAAGATCACTGGTCACAAGTATCAAAGTATTTGATCAGACTACGATCTAATTTAACGGCCATTAGACAAAAGTTTGAGATTGAAATAACTATACCGAATATTCTCAATACTTCGATTGAAACTGGTGAAGAATCAGAGTCTAAAGAAGTTATTGATGTTGACCAACACGGTCTTGACGAGAAAGATATTAACAATCTCACAATCCCAGCTATATTAATGTCTGAATTTGACAAGTCAATAGACTCAGACAGTAGCTCGAGCATAGTTGAAGAAAAATATATCAACATGGCACAATCAAAAATCGATTTTATAAACACTGCATCTAAGCTTATACCACCATTCGATGGTAAGGCAGAAAATTTAACATGTTTTCTCGATGCACTTGAAATAATAGAATCGATAAAAGGCGAACACGAGCAATTAGCTATTTCAATAATAAAAACAAAGCTAAAATGTGTCGCCAGAAACTTGGTAGGAAATGAAACAACAATATCAGAACTCATTTCCGGAATAAAAAGCAATGTCAAAGGCGAAACTGTAGAGGTATTAACAGCCAAAATGATTAATCTACAGCAACACAATAAAACTGCTAACCAATATACAACAGAGGTTGAGCAGATGACAAAAGCTTTGGAAAGTGCATATATAACGGACGGCCTTCCACTAGCGTTAGCCAGAAGTTATTCCACACAGTCTGCAGTAAAAGCCATATCAAAGAATTGCGCAATTGATAAGGTAAAACTTATCATGCAGGCTGGCACTTTTAACACCATGAATGAAGCCATATCGAAATTTGTCAATAGTTGCACAGAAGCAACTGGACAGCAAAATACTGTCCTATACTATAACAATTACCCACAGCGCGGCGGAAACCGCGGACGTGGAAACTTCAGAGGGAACTATCGTGGTCGTATTAATAATAACTACAACAACTTCAATAGTTCCAATTATAACGATAATAATAGAAGAGGTCGATATATAGGAAACAATCGAGGACGTGGTAACTCAAATCGAGGCCGCAATAATATTAATAATGTGAGAGTAGCCCAAAATACATCATGAAACTCTCAAGTCCCTTTAAATACCCAGCAGTAGAGAATGTAACGGTTCATGCGATCACTCTCAGTCAGAATATATTTGTCAATTTTATTAATGTAACAACAGGGAAAGAACTGGTGTTTCTAGTAGACACGGGTGCAGACATATCAATACTCAAAGAAACTTCTGATGTCTACAATGACATAAACGTTAACCATATAATAGATATAAAAGGAATAAGTAATGAGATTACAAAATCAAAAGGGTTAACTTCTATTGAGATACAGACAAATAAATATATAATCCCACGCTTTTCATATCGTGGATTTACATTTTGCTATTCCATGTGATGGCATATTAGGAATCGATTTCATAAAGAAATACAACTGTCAATTAGACTTCAAGCCATCTGAAGATTGGCTTATAATAAGACCTGATAACCTTAAATTCCCAATTTATGTTCCAATAACATACAGTTCTGGC